AGGTTAACCAGCGCTTGAGTGATCATGATATTTACAGCTCAACAAACCAGCAGAAAAGTTAGACTAATACATAGGACATTATTTAACCACCCACTTCAGTATTTCTTGAACAGTTTGCCTCATTCTTTTTCCCTGCCACTATGAGTTAGTACACAGTTGAGAAACCACCGTTTCTTTTCTTGTAAGAATTAGAAGCTGGGGAAAGAAGTTAATGTAACCACTGAGCTCTTTAAAACTTACAGAAACATTTTGTTCATACATTATTTTGCTTGGTTAAATCTCTTATTAATTTATACTTTGACTTTTGGTTAGCAAGGTAATATTTTGACCAATTTATTAAAAGATAGGATCAGGTAGTTTAGGACAGATGTTTTGTATTTTTAAATAGCTACATTTCAGCAGAGAAAATATAAAGAGCTCAGATGAGCTTGGTAGAGGCAGTTATGTGTCAGATGGAAGCAGCAGGAGAACAAACAGGAGAGAGCAGCAAGTCTGACAGTTCTCTAGGCAAGCTGTTCATTTGACCAAGGGAGTGGGAAACATGCCCTTGGCTTAAAATCAAGACTGAAAAGCTTTAGTCCTCTACACCTGCCTATAGAATTTTCTCCTTGACTATGTGCAGTACAGTAGACAGGAGCGTCTGATAATCTCATCACCTGAACTCTGGAGACCTGTGTTAAGTTCCACAGCTTGATAGAGCTTCTGTTTCTTACCTGTAGCTTGGTCTGTCCTGCCCCTTCCCCTTAGTGCACCGTTTCTGCCTCTTGGACAGCCCTAAATGAGCACCAGAAGATATGCTGCAGATGGTATTTGCACTGTTTCTCTGCCAATAGATAGAGGAACCGACTGGCAGAGACAGTTAAGCACTCATTACTACCCCATAGGAAAGGAATTGTCTTTGATCCATTTTTACAATCTTGTAAGAATCTGTGACTGATTGCTTCACACCCAGTGTTTTTCCAAGTCCTTTCTAGAGAATGTGTGATCTAAAAACAGCAGTCTCTATCATGAAAAATTGTTTGGTTGAACTCAGTTCCTGGGATTCTTCACTACAGCCACACACCAGTTCTCTATAAAGCTTTGATTGAAGGCTCCATGACTTGGCTCAAATGGAGTCCTCAAATTTTAATTAGAACAAGAACCTCCCAGGTTAACCCAGGAAGAAGAGAGACTAAACTCAGACTACACTGTGGCCTGCCACACGGGTTGACTGGAGCACTGAGTTCCCTCAGTGATTAAGTTGTCAGGTTTTTACAGCATGCGCGTGCTGGTACTGCAATGTTATCAGTTCTCCTGAGCAAGATGGGGCGAGTTTCAAGACTGAGACATGTTTAGTGTAGGGGGCTTTCCTTGCTTCTGCAGGTTTCTCTCCTGGAGGGAGAGTTGTTTAGAGTGGTCCAAAGGAGACAAGCGGGTGTAGTTCAGATCTGAGTGCTGCAGAATATTGGTGCCTCTGCTCAAGTCCACTGCCTAGTATTTGACAAATATAGGCATATTCCCAGGGTGTCAGTATTTTAGGGTACATAATAAAGGACTGGAACTGGCATTGAATAACTGACTTGGGTAGCTGAAAGCTGAGAAACTATTTCCAAATGCATGTTGTAATTTAAAAAGTAATTGTGTGATTCCGAACTCATTGGGATTGATTTTGTTCATTTCCACAGGATTAGTCATCACTTAAAGTTGTGCCTCTCCTTACATAACTTCCTGAGCAGGACAGAGCGGTCCAATTGCAGAAGCTTTAGGAAGAGCTGGAACAGAACTCATGATTTGTAGGGCTGTCTCTGAAAGAGGTTTTCCACACCAGCTAATGAAAGAAACTATGGAAACTCTGTTGTTCCTGACTGAAACCTTTCTCAAATGGCTAAAAGAACAAAATAGATGCAGTCAAGTTCTCTAACTCAGTAATTGCTCCCGTGTCTCACTCATAATTTCTCTGTTTCTCTCTATTAGAGTCCTTCTATAGAAAGAGATGACAAAGCCGCCAGGGTATCTGGAGGCACTGCTGCAGTGCCTGCACAAAGAGCAAGCTACCTTTGAGCCACATGCCAGCCTTTGTACTTGATATGCATGTATCTATCTATATCTGGCAGCATTTATTTGTATTTGCAGCCCCCCCTTTCTAATCTCAGAGATGGGACAGCAACAGTGCTACGTTTGTATTACTTAGGAATCTAAAATACATGTAATACTATAAAGAAAGGAGGCTTGGTGGTGTAATAAACCTGTGTTCCTTAACAGAAAGTTCATTATTTTCAACTTTCCTGAGATGGAAATTCTCAGTGGGGTAATTAGAATAACAAACAAACACAATCTGAGTGTGTAAGTAGAGTAGAATTCAAGAAAAAAGCTTTATTTCCTACTTCCTTCTCACAGACCTAAATATAAGATTTAAAACACTTAAGTGCTATTTTTCGTAACAGTTGGAGAACACCATGTTTCATGGTAGAGTTCCATATTTCCTGGGGGTTGTTACAATGGAATTTTTCTTATATTTGAGACAAGCCAAAACACTTATTACATCAAAGCAAAAGGCTGTTTTGGTTTTTTTTCCTTACAGATTCACTGCATGGGGAAACATTGGAACGTGAGTATATCTTAACTATTTTGAAGGTATATAGTCTTATGTTTATCCCAGATACTGTGGGCATGATCCTTGTGATGCAAATTCTTAAAGAAACCAGCACAAAACAGAGAAATGGAAGAAAGGGTGGGAAATGTGCTGAGACTTAGAAGGAAAACCAAGCAATGCAGATATACGTGTTAAGCAAAATGTTTCATATTTTATATTGTTATTCTAGAAATGGAAGGATAACTTTATACTTCTCTTTTTCCTGCTAATGATGAGCATGCATATAAAATTGGCAGAGAAATAGTATGTAAGTTTCTACTAAGTTGGCATCAAATTATTATTCTTGAGGCCAGTAACTTTAGTGAATCAGAATGTCAGCAACAAGAGGTTATTCTGTAAGGCAAATAACAAGCTGTTGTTCATGCTTGTACCTCATTTTCCCTTCTCTTGTAATATTGGGGGTGTGTGTTTAAAAAATACATAACTCTGGTTGAGTACTCCGAAGAAGTCTGGCAAACATATTTCTATTGTGATAGTTTTAATGGAAAGTGTGAAGTCTACTACCAAGTTACTGTGCTATAGATGTGCTTGCCTGAGCTTGCAGTAGGAGTGAGTGTTTATCACTGTGACAAGGTTTCCATTCATCTTCACAATCACTTCTCTGGCATATTTAAGGTATCCTGTTGTAACCACTTGACCTTGAGGAAAAGAATGCCATAGATCTAAAGGTTGCAGTGTTTTGAAGAAAGATCCAAGTTGGGTCCTGTGCTGTTTGGCCTTGCTGGATTAAAAATAGTTCATGGCTGACTTGGAGTCTGCACCATTTTTCTCCAGTGAGATCAGTGCATGTTGAATGGTTGGGTTGCTAGGAGAGTCAAGTATTTGATGGGAAAATGTAGAAATAGACCGGGCTGGAATTCATGTTTACATGTAGCCAGCATGAAAGGAATTGTTACATAGGGGCATCAGATATTACACTCAAAATTCATGTTTAAGAGGAAGCATACCTTATATGTTACATGCCAAGAAGTTTTTGTTTCTTGCTACTATAATTGAATTGTGAAATTCTAACAATTATTAATACAGATATAATTGTTATGAGAAAAACAATAACATTGCACTGAGTTTCTAGTCATATCACTGCTTGCCTTTCTGAAGCTTCTCTGGGACTGAAGGGGACAGCAGTTTAATTCTGGGGTATATGGAGGAATTTATAGGAAGTTGTTAACATGTGGAGCACTTCACTGGACAAATCTGACATTCCTGTGAATGGTTTCTTCTTCCTTGTGCCAGGATTCATGTTGGGTCACTTTTTGTTTACTAACAAGTTTTCACATTCTTGATCTTCATTGCTCTGCGGCTCTGTTATATCCAAATTTTCTGTCTGTATCATGACATAATTCATGTTAGAATCGACTTTGTCCTCTGTTGCCCCTAAAACCAGTTTTGTGCAGTTCCAGGTCCGCATTTCTTTAGCCAAATAGGGTGAGTCATTTTAGCTGCGGAGTCTCCAGTGCCAAGGCTGTGCTCCAGGTCACACGCCTGTACTCTGTGCTGCACCCCTTGTTCCCACTCCTGGTCACACTGGTAGTTTAGGAAAGGCTATCTGAAGGTGCCATGTGCTCCCCTGGATGAGGGTTTGTGAGCATTGGTCTAGAGATTCATTAGGTCCCTTGATTTGTTGGATGAGGTTGCTGTTGGGAGCGCTGGGTAACATTTCACAGAATAACAGAACCAATTAGGTTGGAAAAGACCTCTGAGATCACAGAGTCCAATCCGTGACTGAACAGCACCACGCCAACCATACCAGGGCACTGCGAGCCACATGCAGTCTTTCCTTGAGCACCCCCAAAGTCGGTGACTCCACCACCTCCCTGGCAGCCGTTCCAGCGGCTGGCTAAGAAGAGCTAAGGGCTGATGGGAGCTGTGCTCGCTGGGATTATTCCGGGCTGGATGCTCGCTCCCTGGCCCGCGGCGAGCGCCCCGCCAGCGCGGGGAGCCGCGGGAGCGCCGCCTCTCCCGATGCTGCCGCCAGAGGGCGCCGCGGCCGCCGAGCGCCTCCCCCCGCTGCCGGCGCTGGCGGCCGGTCCTGCCGGGAGGAGGGAAGGGGAAGGCGGCAGCAGGAGGAGGAGGAGGGCGGGCAGGCGGCAGCAGGAGGAGGAGGAGGGCGGGCAGGCAGCGGCAGCAGCACCGCCACCAGCCGGAGGCCGCTCGCCCGCGTTCCTGCGGCAGAGGCGGGCAGCCGAGCGCACCGTGCCCTTCGCCTCCTCCCCGCGCCGTGCGCTCAGCGGCCCCCGCCGAGATGTCTCGGGAGCCCGGCTGCAGCCGCTGGCTCCTCTTCGCTGCCTGCGCCCACCTCGTCTTCCTTCTCCCGCCGCTCCGCGCCCGGGGTGAGTGGCGGGGGCCGGGCCGGGACGCCATGGCGAGGTGAAGGGAGGAGACCCGGGACGCTCAGCCCCTCCGAGGAGGCGATGACGGGGAGGAGGGCACGGAGAGCTCGGAGTGGCGCCCGAGCCGCCGCTTGCTGGGCGCTGTGTCCCGCCCCGCGGGGAGGCGGCCGAGGTGCCCCTGTTCCCGAAGTTTGTTCCCGACCGGGCGGCGCGGGGTCCCTGCGTGGCTCCGGCTGCGGGGGCAGCGCCGGGAGCGCCTCCTGCTCCCGAGGCCAGGGGTTGCGGGCAGGGCCAGCCCGCACCGGGGAAATCGGCCCTGGGATCGGGAACAGCTTCGTGGAACAGCCGAGCACAGTGCGAGCACTCGTGCTTGTGTCCGGGCAGCGCCGCGCTGACGGGGTGTTCTGCTCTGGGCGGGGGAAAGGTAAAACCGCCCGCCTGAAGTGCTAGTCGAGAGGAAAGAAATATGTTACTGTGTTTTAGAGATGTTTCATGTGTCTAGTCAGCTGAGAGAAGATGAAAGGAGAAGGATTATTAGAATGTCAGCGATTGGGTTGCTACAGGCTCCTGGAGTTGGGAGCTGTTGGCGGAAGAGGCAGAAGTAAATGTTTACATCTGTTTTCTTTCTCATTATTTCTGTTTCTGAGTATTTCCATCTCTTTCAGCACAGACTTGTCAGTGTGTTGTTAGCCTTTAGATTTGATTCTCTTCCGCTGCTATGGCTTGCACATCAAAATCATGCAGGGGAAAAGCGGTACTAATAAATAATGTATTCAGCAAAGGGAAACTGTGATATTTTGGTTTTTCTTCTGCTAAACACTTTTCCTTTCACAGACACAGCTTGGTTTTTGGAGGAGTCCTAATGCCCTACAGCTCTTCCTAAAGCTGCATTTCAATATTTCTGGGATGAGTAGTTTTGCTCCAGTAAGGTACTATAGCTCTTGTAATTGCAAACAGAGAGTAATCACAGTCAGAGAATAGCAGATTCAGTTTTTCCCATATCTGTATTGTACATGTATAGATACCTTCCTACTTTGAGATGGCCTGGATAGTATGTTTGTTCTTCGAAAACAGAAATAATTTGGATTGCCTTCCACATAAGCAAGCAGCTTGTCTGTCAGTAGTTAGGTAATTTCATAAATTCCAGCTTGCAAGTGATAGCTTACAGAATGAGAAAATGTATTCAGATTATTTTGTATGGTGTAACTTCTAGGCAATCAGAAGGGATCATGATGATGCTTTTTCTTCTACTGTTTTTCTTTACTTGCCTTTTATAAAGATAGTGGTGTACACAGCACTTATTTAGATATTCCAGTGGTTCGAAGTAGTGATTGCAGCTGCCTTCTTCCCATATGTGCCATTTGTGTAAAGAAATATAAGTAGTTGCTTTTATTTTATGAAAAGCTTCAGAGTCTGTAAATTTGCTTGTATCAGCCTCTCTGCTTCCTCCTCCCCATGCTCTCTCCCCGTTTTGTGTTGATGAATCTGGAATATATTATTATCTGGCTCAACCAGAGTCTTTGATGCTGATAGTGAAGAAATATTATAAAAGCTTGCATATAAATACACAAAACTAATTTATAGTGCTCACAGGCTGTCTCATAATGGAAGATCCCATTTCTTTGCCTGACACAGCATCAGTGCAGATTTTCTCTGGAATCATGTCAATCCACAGAACCTTACGTTCTCTGAAAACTTGTAATGGGGGAAAAACCAAAACAAAAATAGACCTTTCATTAAATTATGAGAAATAAAAATGTTTTCTCTACTGCATACACCATAATCACTGGCTGTCATTATTTGTAGTGGTTATTATCAGTCACAGTTTTGCCATACATTAAGTCACAGCAGCTCAGTGAGGTGGCTGGAATGACTCTGGGGTCAGTCAACCTTGAATCAGACTGTAAAAGAGGAATATAACAGAGGTATTGCTTTTCTGTATCAGGTAGATTAGTCTGTGAAAGCAAAGAGTTAACGCCTCAGTTTTTAACATCCTTTGCACTTCAAGGACATATAATTGTAGAGGTTTGGAAGTTGTTTATGTATGAAAGAGTATTACCAAAGAAAGGATTGCTTCTGCATATAAAATGTGATATTATATAATTGTGTATATTTATGCAGTATATTGTATTTTAATGCTGCAGCGTTTACATCCATTTTTCTATCCTGCACATATTCTTGCAGTTTGGTTGCTGAACAATGAAAATAATTGCTGAGTTTTACTTTCTAGTGTTATAAGCAAGTCTGTTTACTTATTAAAATTTTAATGGAAATAATGGAATGCTTGACAAAACAAATAGGAATGGAAGGAATTGAATTGAATAGGAATTCTTATATTACATATCCAGGTTTTGAATGGATCCAAAAATGTTGTCTAGGTTTTCCAGTGGATTTTAGTCATGCTCTCAAGAGACATAAAGATAAGATTGGTGATAATACAGAACTTTAAAGTCTTTCTAAAATTTCTTTCCTTTTCCTATTCTCAATTCTTGGCCATTTAGCAAAAGGAGAGGAGGACTAGTGATTGGCACTTCTGCTTCTGTCTGCTTGACATGGTATTAATGCACAATGTGTGTTAACAACCTTCAGAGTACATGGTGCATTAGATAATGAAGAGACAAATACAAGATTACAATTTCATTTAAGATGCTGCCTTGCTGTTTTTTTTCCTGCTTTGGGTAGCTTTGTTTGCAAGAAACTGTATAGTTAATCACCCTGGTCTTTTGGTTACTGTGGTATCTACAGGGCTTGAACTTTTACCGGCTAGTAAGTTTATTCTTGCAATGTATTTTCTCGGTGCTCTGTGGCAAGTCCAACTGAGGTATGCGTACTTTGTATTAGAAAACACAAAAGGATGAGGGGAAATTCTGGATTTTTCAAAGGTACCTCTAGCTCCAGAGATTGATATGTGCTTTAGGGAGTTGTACGGAAAGAGATCCATTGCAGTTGTCTGCATTAATAATGACATATGAGCTTGAAAAGTTACTTTTGTTATAGTAGCATCTGATAACTGCTGGACATAGGTCATCCTTCTTTGTGCATGTATGCCTTGCACACAACAAAAATATATCCTTCACACAGAGAATTTATAGTTTCTGCCTGTGTTGTACAAGTGACCTGGCCATGAGCTGCATCTGGAGTTAGAACTTTTTTATCAGTGGTTCACTCCTGGGAACATCCTTTTGAGAAGCCTCCTGGAAGTGAATTGCATGTGAATGAATTAATCTTGGAGTTGTCCGTTTGTGCCAAGGCACTGTATTTTCTGCCTACCCTGTGGTCCGTCCCTTTGTTGATATAAATTTACCATGTTCCTTTCCTGCTGCTCTTTTCCCAGTAAATCCTTAGCAGAGGATATTTATTTCCACACTGAGAGATCAGGTTGCTTAGCCAGAAGAGTCTTGGCCACAGCTGACTTCTGAAGACTGCTTTATCAAATTAGATGTGCATAATAGATTTGCTAATCAGGCAGAAGAGTGTTGCTAAGATAAATTCATACAGTCTGTGTGTGTGAAAACCTTCATTACTGTTGGGTGAAATATTGAGGCTTTTTTGGTGGTGTCTTCAGGGGTCTGTTTTGTGAATGGTTCTTCAGTAGTTTAAAAATAGTCTGAACAGTTCTTGCCTTATTAAAATGTATTAGCTGGAAAAAGTCTTTCTGATATACTTAATGTAAAGCATGCCGAATCATTTTAATGTGTTTAATTGTTGAAAAAGGAGGGGAAGCTGCCTTAGTGAAATCACAGGGAATAAGAATAATGATATAGCAAGAGACTTTAGCATATATTGGTTTGTTGAATAAATTGTGTGTGAGTGTTGAAATTGCACTGTGTGACAGGGTTGGAGTTGCTTGATTTTCAAAGCTCTTCTACAATAATGATCCATCCCCACATGCAGGAAGGCAGGCAAAGATGGCAGGAGGACCACATGCACAAACAGGAGCTCCTGGCAAGGCTCAAACATAAAAAAGGAAGCATATGAAAGATGGAAATACAGTCAGGTCACCCCAAGAGTAACATGGAGACACTATGCAGGTATGTCATTAGGAAAGCCAGGACTCACCTGGAGTTCAATCTGGTGAGAGATTCAACTTGTGAAAGGTAAGAAAAAGGGCTTCTGCAGGTGTAACAGCAAAAGGGAGACTAGGGAAAATAATAATAATAGGCCTTCTTATGAATGGAGGACAGGGTTAAATGAAGAATATGAAAGAGCACAAGGAACTTGGAACCTTCTTTGCCTTGATATTATTAAGACTTGCCTTCAGAACACCCTGAAACTCATGAGAAAGGCTGGAGCAAAGAGTTCGTGTCACTGGAGGAGGACTGATTTAGGGAACATTTAAACAAACAGGACCTACAGAAGTCTACAGGACCTGATGGCAGGCACATACAAGTGCCGGCAGAGTTTGACAATGTCAGTGCAAGACTTGATAATCTTTGAAAGGTGATGGTGACTGGCAGAGATTCCTCAAGACTAGAAGACTATCACCCTGGTCTTCTAGGAGAGCAAGGATAAGTTGGCCAGTGGTACCTTGGTTCCTGGGAAGGTGGTGGAGCAAATAACTCAGTATCACTGCCAAACAAGGAAAGACAAGACAAACATACGAAGGAGAAGTAGCTATGTTTATATGAATGGGCAGTCATGCTTAACCAACCCAAAGGACTTCTGTGATGATATGACTGCCTTCATGAATGTGGGGAAAGCAATGGATGTTGTTAATCTCAACTTCAGCAAGGAGTTTGAGTTCAGTCCTGTCTCCTATAATGTCATAACAAACTGATGGAAGTATGGGCTATGTCTGTGGACGGTGAAGTGGATTGAAAGCTGTCTGACTTGGTAGGCTCTGATGAGTGGCTCCAGTAGTGTTTAACCTTTCATTAACAACAATGGGATGTGCACCCTCAGGGAGTTTGCAGAGGATACAGAATGTGCAGGGGGAGTTGATGCACCCGCTGGTTGTGCTGCCATTCAGAGGGAGCTCAGCAGGCTGGAGAAGCAGGCAGACAGGAAACTTGGGAAACTGAGTTCAGTGAAGGGAAATACAGACTCTGGCCCCTGACAAAGAGGCACCCCATGCAACATTGCACAGAGGGGGCACTTAGTCTGGGAAGCAGCTTTTCAGAGAAGGATTTGAGTCCCAGTGTGCAGCAAACTGATCATGCACCAGTAGTGTGTGCCATTGCGGAAAAGATGGCCAGCAGCCCCCTGAGGGGGACAGAGTTTGCAGCAGGGCAGGAGAGGTGACCCCTGCTGTCTGCTCAGCACTGGTGTGACACTCCTGGGGTGGTGTGTCCAAGTCTGGGCTCTCCAGTACAAGAGAGACGTGGACATACTGGAGTGAGTCCAGCAAAGGCCCATCAACATCATTAATAGATTGGGACCCCTGATGGACAAAGAGCCTGAAGCAGCTGGGGCTTTTTAGCTTGGAGAAAAGAAGGTTCAGGGAAGAGATCCAACATGTAAATACCTGATGGGATACACAGAGCCAGACTCTGGTACTTAACAGGGCATGAGTCAGTTTGCACAAACTGAAATACAGGAAATTCTGTTTGAACATAATTACTTCTTTCTTTGATTTTTGTTTATTTTGTTGTTTGGGTTTTTTTACTCTAAGAATGAACACTGGAAGAGGTTGCTCGGAGAGTTTATGGAGTCTGTTCTAGGAAATAAAACCTAGATAGGTTTGATTATAGACTAGACAAGGTCCTAACTAGACAAGGTCCTGAGGATCTAGTTGTGGGAGGCTGAGCTAAATGACAATTAGGCATCTTTTCCAACCTCAACAAATCTGTGGTTTTGTAACACCAGGATGAGTAGGTTGGTTAATTAATTCCCTGAAGAGCTTTATCTGTGCTCAGTGTGGTGTGAAATGGCTGATATGATTATTGTTTGATTTGTTCCAAGGATCATGTGTGTTAATATTTTATAAAGCTTAGGAGCAGTGTGGCATGGGTTATTGAATGTGCTGTGGTGACAGAGGCAGCATCTCTTGTCAGTCACAATTGTCTTAGGTTTCATGTATCATTCCTCAGGTGCATATTAAAAGCTAAAAATTAAGCTTGTGAATAAGCTGAATTTGAGGTGACGCTTCTTCAGGTTAATACTACATAATTATTACAGTCTCTGGAATAAGGATGTTATGTGTTGATCTTGTAATTAGGATTGTGTCGAGAAGGTTTGTGTAGTGGAAGCTATTCATTGTCTGAATCAGTAATACTGCTATATTGGGAGAAGAGGAGGAAAATGACCTTGAGATTTGCTCAATTGCATAGAACCTGGTTCTTATAACATGGATTCAATCCCTGTACTGGCCTCTCATTTAAGAGTTGTGGGTCCCTTCCAGCTCACAATATTCTGTGATTCTGATTTATGACCACCATGAGTCTGCTTTGTTATAATGATTTTTGGGATGTCTGGATCTAGCTATGCGATTTGAGATGCAGATTAATCAGCACCTGAGATGTCACTGTGAACCTCAGCTCCTGGACATGTGATGAAATTTGATCTCCAGCTGGAAGAGCATAAGGATGTGGGTGTTCAGAGATGGGGCACCCTAGACTTAGGACAATCTCGTCTTGCTGTCCTATATTGTAGGTTTCTAGTGCATCAAAGGAATGATAACAGCTAACAATTCACTCTGAAGTAAATTTCAAGCAGTTGTAGTGAGACTTGAATCTGTTTTCTGCCCCAGTTTTTAAGAAAATCATCAATTTGACCATGAAGAATAGTATTTTGAATTCCTTCCAAATTGTAACAATTTGCTTTTATTTGCATCTCTTTAGTGCTTTTAAGAAAAGGATTTCTTAAGAATAATCTTAGCAAAGGTTTCTTATGTTAAATGGAACTACTTTTACAAATGAGCTGGCTGAGACAAATTAAATGACTACATCAACAAAAAAAAGTAGCACCAGAACCCGTTTTATGATTATTTTCTCTAATACAAATCAGAAGTTTATGCAAAGGGTGGTGTCACTATAAATAGTTTAAGATAATGCTACTTCTGTGACTGATGTTCAAAGATAGTGTTCAAGGCTTGTGATAGGCATTTTCAGTTTTGATAGAAATTTCTGTCAGCCACTGTAAGTTTCTGTGGTTCCAAGAGAAGCTTTGGTAGTCCAAACTTTAATGTAAAACCAGTGGATTGCAGGTCCCGTGTGGCAGCACATTAGGCTGTTATCAAGTGAGCTATTGCACTGAACAGAGTTTTTTTTTTTTTAAGGGATTTATTTGCCTTGAAGCCAAGACAAATTGGCTTCATATCAGAGTGATTTTTTTTTTTTTTTTTAGTGATGGTGTGGGAATTGTCAGGCAGTGAATGTATAAATTCTATAAGAACACACTCTCGTGTTCACAAATATTATTACAAATATAGTATCATTTAATGTGAAAAATCTACCTATATGATGGAGGGGGGAGGGGGTTGGATTTTTTTTTTGCTGCAGAACTTCGTAAGTTGTGGAAATGAGCTCCTTTAATATGAAAGAAGTCTGTTTTTTCTTTCAGCTTTTGCTGTAAGTGTAATTTCTGAAGATGCTGAAGATGAGACTGAACAACCAGTGCTGCAGGTAATAAATTTTAGTTGCTAGAGCAGGAACATTTTGCAGACATTATAAAATAAACTGGAATAGACCTGAGCAGAAAGCCCAGTATCTATGGCATTGATTATTTTAAGTATTGACTTTGGTAGTACCAGATTTCATATGTCTTTGTATTCTGTGTCATATAAGTTCTTTGTGCTGCTGCTGTTGAGAAGTTTTTGTGTATATAACCTTTATTAATTCAAGGACAGTTTTTCCTTTCTTCTTGGTTTTGCTACATGTGTAATACGTTGAGAGGGAAATGGCTGCCTCTCTGCCAAATTAGCATTATTACATATTACCAGTCAAATCACGTCTCAAGCAAAGCTCGTATATGAAATTTCAAATTAACCAGATTAGAAGAAGTAATGGTCAGAACTAGCCCTAGCTTTAAATAGCATGCTGAGTGTTAGGTGTGTATGCATGCATGTCCTTTGACAGACTTCTGACTACCATTTTTATATGAGTACATATTTGTAACAGATATTTGTGTATGTATAAAAGAAACTGAAGGGGGGAAAAAAAAAAAAACTGGAATGAATCAATGGTTAGAATCTATAGCTGCCATTTAGATCTAGTGATCTGACATCAAACACAATAGCAGCATAGTAAGAGTGTAGATTTCTAAATAATTTTTGGTTTTGATGATGATTGCTAGAACTACAGTAGTTTTTCTAAGTGAAAAATATCCCTGTTGCAAACTGCTGGTATGCCTCAGTGTCTGCGACACTCAGTCATGTCATTCTGTTGTCATCACTAATAGGTTGCTGTTTGTTAAATTCCATTGCTGTCTCAATCCAGCTGTTACCCTTCTCATATAGGATGTAATTTATGAAGGTTTTCCTACTATTTTAGAGTTCCAGAACTTTCCCTCAGATGAAATCAGACGTGCTTCCTAGACCTCTTCAGGCCAAAATAGCCTTTTTTCCCCCTGCTTTTTTAACAGGAATATAACAGGCAATGTTTGGTTTGTGTTTTAATAAAAGTACTTTTAAATAGGGCTTATTCTTCACACAGTGTACCACAAAACACATAGGTTTTTGTTTGCATAGAAAAGCAATCTTCGTTTTTTTCTGATACAGGTTAGCTTAGAATGTTAACTTACTGTGCTATATAATGACAGCGTTGTCTATAGATATCAAAATAAACGAATCTTACAAGAAATCTTTTAAACTTTATTGACCCAGGCAGCAGGAAAAGAATGCATCATAAGAATGATGCAGTTACAGTAATTTTTGAAAAGGTTTTACAGATGGCTACCAGGGAAGTTGGAGCTTATTCATTTCAATGTAAAAGTCAGAGGAAAGATCATCTGATGCAAGTAGAGCTAAAAGATTACATAGATATTTTAGAAAAGAGAGGGGCTAAGTATTTTAAAATAGAATCTGTCTCAGGGATAGGAAAACTGTGTATGAGCTTATTACCGAGGATATGTATGGCATTTCTATCTGGAAGTCTTAAAACATTGGAACCAAGATAAATCCTACAACATTCTTTTGCAATTAGTAAAGATGAGTTTGATTTTTCATGTGGCCAAACCAAAGCACTGGGCTACTGTCACCTGGGATAAACTGTGCAACAAATGAAGGCTCTGTTTTCCTTCCTACAATTTTCTAGGCAGTGCGGAGATACACGATGTTTGTGATAACTGAGTAAATTCCAGTGGAGTCATGTTTTGTGCAACAACCTTTTGATATTTGTCTTCATATAGATTGCATTTGAGTCTTCCTTTAAGAATTGTGTTTTGATAGAAGCTTGATAGTAGATTAAATTAGAGTGTGTTGGGGTCTTTTCCCACACTGAACAGGTATGTTTTCATTCTAGAGCTCCATATTCAAAATTTAGTGCTCAGAAGATACATTAAAAAAAAGATATTGTTAGTAATAAGTTAAAGAGCTCTGGTATAAATTGAGTCATGGGAAAAAATTTTCTCTTTTTTTTTTTTTCTTACTCTATTTTCTGAGTAATAGTATTCAAGCATATAGGATAGCTCTTTAAATTCTTGATGGTGAATAACATTTTACTTTATTTTTCATATCAGTTTTTGAGCCAAAACCTCTATGTATACATCTATAATCTGATGAGTGCTTTGACTCCCAGTGTGTTTCTGTGGAAATATTTGAAGCCTTGTGTATGTTCCTAACTTGCTTTTTTCTTTCTTTCTTCTAGAACTCTGAAAAAAGTAGAACAATTAGTAAAATAGGCAGAGGTAAGTATAGTGCTGTTTCACAAACACTTTATTTTTTCTTGGTTCATGTAGTCTCATCAAACAGAAAATTCTAAGTCTTTGATTGTACTTGCAGTTCATGTAGTTAAGTTTTCTGTGAACATGTGCACTTGCACTGTGAAAAGGATGAATTGTTTTTTGTAGTGCACTATAGTTTTAAAATTTTTATAATACTTAGTAGCTCTTCCTGTAGCAATTTAAGATGAAACTGAATTTTACCGTTCTGCTAGGCTCTAACTGTACTTGTAATAACTAGGTTATTGTAAATTGCTTGTAACAAATTATAATAACTTTGTAATATCTAGAAGGAATTATTTAAGAAGCACATCAACAATTAATAGGTAAAATAGTGGTAAAACAACTATTTGCTGCTGGACAGGCGATAAATAATGAAAATAAAAATTCTGCAAGGCTCTGCCTTCTCTGAAGAGGAGCCTGATGTCCTTCTGACAAAAAGTTAACAGACCTGACTTGCATTCTCTGCACTGTAACTGTGGACTTCTCTCTGCTAAGCTCTCAGGATTTGGCTCTGCTTGTTCTAAAACAACCCAGCTTAATTATGTCTGTCTTCTGGCATTTCCTAATATAATATTTGTAAGCGCTTTGAGGGTATGAGGAGCATTGGAGAAAATGAAGTTTTTGGGGTATCCTTCCTATTACTACCATTAAAAAATATACTCGACTAGACGTCAAGTCTGATGCAATACATATTTTTTTTTCCTCTTCCCAATAAAGTTGTTTTGGTTTGAGGATTTGGGTTTTTTTAGGTCTTTTAACCCATTTCTGTAGGCAAAATGTAAGGGTTTGAAACAGAATGTAGTTCTTGATGGTTCCGAGATCCTCTGATACTTCATTCTTCTCTTTTGAACAGTTATATATAGATCAGTAGAACTTTTGGAACTTAATCTTTCAAAAGACTGTTCTTTCTCTTGCTTCATTGGATGTTTCTCAGCTTGAGAAACAATTGAGGTGTTCAATATTGTAACTATTTTCTGTTGACATTTTCATACACTGATATGTCTTTTATTAACTACTTTAAACTACCTATAGCAAACGAAACTATTTCCATTTGATTTAACCATCAAAGTAGATGTTATCTCACTCCTAGAAAGTATGCTATTGTGGAATATCACAGGTGTTGTTAAATGTATCATAAGTGTAACTAAGTGCTTCCATATCTGCAAATAGTGTAAATAGAGTTAAATATGCTATAGCAGCAATTAATAAAAACAAGGTAGTGCTTGCTTTTTGTCTCTGTGGTTGTTTTTGGTGTTGTGCATGTAGATTTAGCCCTTTGACTCTCATTAGCATCAACAATGCGTAGTTTCAGTTTTCACACTGATTTTAATTTTTGCAGAGGAAATCTAGCGAAGATCTTGCTAGGTAGCAATTAGTTGATATTCAGAAGTTTATTATGCATGGGGTTTTTAAACAGTTTGTTTGGTGGTTCAGAGCACGAACACTGATTCCTACACTGTGTGGGAAAAATGTGACATGAATACTGGTGTCTGAACCAATGCTTATTCTATCTCTGTAATATGTCACCAGGAACCTCACACAATTTGTCTTGATGAATAAGCTAATAAATTGAGGGAAAACAATACTGAGGGAAATGTAAAAAAAAAAATCTAACTGCAGCTTTGAGCTGTCATAGGTCTAAATTAACAAATAACTGTTCAGAGCAACAAAGCCATGTAATAGATCCTCCAGTGCTGGACATAACAATCTTCTCATAACCTTAGTGCAGACACTGTGGTTAATGCTCTTTTCGCAATGTTTTCCTTGTGATCCTTCTTCATGGGCTTAGTTTTACTCTTTTTCCTTGTGATTATGTCTTTCCTTTTCTGGACTTTCCTTCTTTTCCTTCTTTTTTTTTTTTTTTTTTTGTATAAACTTTGTTCCTTCTCCACAATTTTCAACATTCTGTACAGATCTCCTGGGCATTAGTTTCCTTCCTTGTGGCGCTGTCTCAAGTTACTATATTCTGAGTTTCCTGGTGCACTTTCTACATAGTATCTGTAAACTTCAGCCTTTTGTGGCCAAACCGTCCTCCTTGTTCATTGATACTTAGTTAATGGTCTTGAGTGGGTTAAACAGCATAGATCAAACTTGCTAAGAGTTCTGGAAAAGGCATCTGTCCTCTTCCTTTTATTGTCTTATCCTCTCTTGTTGTCTGCTGTGCTCTGCTTCTGAATGAGATCATATTTTCATGGTTTTCTAAGATTTCCCAGTACTGAAGGCTTATTCTATCTCCTATCATCAAGAAAATTTGGCTACCTGCTTCATCATCTATTTTTATTGTACAATAGGCACTTTTATAATCAATAAGTGTTTGTAAAGTTACTTCATTATTTCCTTTTAAATTTCTATCTTCTCTCCTGTTCAAAGTTTTTAGTTATGATGCCTTTAAACACTGAAGACATGTGAGATATTGATGCTGTCATGTTAGATAATAGTATCAACTCCGTATTCTTGTGTGTGTTTCTCAACCTGATGTTTGTTTCTGTGTAGGGTTTTGAACTGTTTGGGAAGTAGCTTTTCTGTTTCATGTTCATGCATTTCCTGGTGAGGGGCGATGCTGATCTGTGATGAACACCTTTTAACTCTGGTGGCAAGGAGTGCTGGTGTATTGGAGAACAAGCAACCTCATGAATGTGGCTGCTGTTAACTGCTGCACTTCTTCCACTCATGCCATGCTCTTTCTAAATGAATCTGGAAAAGGGCTGGTTTGAATTTTTTGTGTTAAATAACGCCTTTTACTATTTCATGAAATGTTTGTATAATTACAGTAGTAGCTGACTGTGAAATAGATTCCTACATACACCTGGGTTCTCACTAGCTTTGGAGCAAATCATAAAATAATTTCTTTTATCTTTAAATGTTCATACTTTCTTGTTTGCAGAATTAAAAGGAATTGTATTTGTCATCCAGAGTCAAAGTAATTCTTTTCATTCCAAGAGAGCAGAAGATCTAAAAAGAGATATTTTGGAACAGGCTGTAGATCTTGGAAAGGTATGTTGAGATAATAAGTGCCCCTTGTTATATATGTTGTTTCCTCATTTTGTTAAAAATATTGAGGTTTGTTGTGCCTTTTTTCTGATCCATTCTATTTATTTTCTAATTGTTTATTGTGTGCTTATAAGAAAATTATTTCAGTGGTTATTTACTGATTGTACACTGATTTAGCAGTACTTTTAATTTCAACTATTAACTTTTGTGTAATGACTGTTATTGCTTTGATGGCACTTGATGCAAAAGTGATAAGAAAGACTTGGGAAAAGGCAGTTTTTCAATATGACTGTAATGTGTTTACAAAGGAAAATGCATTCTTTATGAAGTGAGAAATACAACATTTTAATTATTAGAATAATTTTAGATGAGCATTTTAACAGAGCCAGTGAACATGCTGTAGTGTAGACTTTGTCAGAATTCCATTGCACAGTTGTGACTTGGTGACAGTAGGAGGGGAATGTGTGTGGACATTAAATTCCTAAGGCAGGATTCCCCCCTTCCTGCAGCAGTAGTCCTCCATACCTCTCTTGCTCCTGTCCCTGCATGATGCAGTACCTGCCCTAACTATTCCTTGTTCCTCTGCCACGCCTCTGCAGACTGAGCACTCTCCCCTTGACCTGCTGGTGGGTCACACTCACCTGAGAGCTGCATGTTGTACTTTGCATTCTAATGGGAAATTTGATTTGTAAAGCGTAAGCCTAGAGAGAAGAGGTTTTTAAGAAACCTACACTGAAATTTCAGTGTGCATAAACAATTATTTTCCTTGTCTTTTATAAAATTAAGAAAAATTTGAGAGTGGTGTACATTCCCTGATATGAAATAGCTTGCTGTGAGGTTATTTGACCTATTTTTCATTTCCATGTTCTTTGTTGTAAAGGAAAAAAAATCTGATGTAAATTGTCTTATGTACATTAGTCTTGTAGTGCCTAAATCAAATTGATGGATGTTTTAGGCTTCATTTATCCAAGCTTATCAAACCTATTGTAATTAAATCCAATCTAAATACAGTTTTTAATCCCTTAATGAAATCAGTCACGTGAATAGCCTTTGTTCTGCAGAGTTTTGCTCTTTCAGCGTCCTCTTTGGAATTGAGACAAGTGTTCAGATACAATGTGTGCAGAGAGGATTATGGTGTCAGTTGTTAAACCCAAGGATTTTAGTTGAGTTCTGTAATTGATGTTGCAGAATGTGAGTAATGAAAAGTTCAGCAAGCAGAAGTACAAATGGTTTCAGTGGGGCTGTAATATAAGCATGTTTTGTGGGAAAGAGGTGAAATAATTTTGTAATCAGAGTTGTACCTGAAATTTACCTGGCTTCTAAAGACCTTTATTGCCCATTTAAGAAGATGCCTTTATGGAAATGCTGAAATGGTGATGCTTTTCTAGTATTAACAGTTACCTCTTAAACAGCAGTCATGATGTCTTAAGAGAAGCAGTGATGAAAATCCCACCAATCATCTCATATCTGAAATTTGGGAAGAGGGGAAAGCCATCAGTGTATAGGAAAAAAATAAAGAGTATAATCAGCAGGTTCTTGGTACATCTCGATTGTTTTGGTCAACTCACAATGCCACTGTGAGACAGTCCCCAGTAATGCTGATTATGGACATGGGGCAGATAATCTCTGCAGTCCTGCATAACAACATTTGAAGTTGGCATTTTTCTCTGCAGAGAATGCATATGAAATTATTAATTTCAGGCAAAAAAAGTTAAATTCTTGTCAAAGATAACTGCTGTATGAAAACAAAAGACTGAATAATCAGGTTCACTCCTCTGTTGTTACAGGCCCAAGAAATAGATGTTAATCCATAAGGTTTCATTAATTATTTTCTGCTAGTTTAAAATGAAAAATGGAATCCAACTGGTAGATTTTGTTACTTGGTTAAACTAGCATATATGTCTCACTGCAAAATAGATTGAGTCACTGGCATTAATCTTTACAAGTGATTTGTCCATTTATTTTCTTTCACTGTGTACTTAAAACAAATTTTTAATGTGAAACCAATTTGTAATTCCAATCACCAGTAGATGTCAGTATTTTGTTCTTGCTTAAAAACATTTTCCATAGCGATTTATTGAATATTAGCCAAAACTCTTCTGTTAGAATGTAGCAATGGCAAAAATTCATTAGTTTCTACAAATCTTTTTAATTTTCTGAGATTCCTGAACATTTAACCTCTGTAAATTAGGCCTTTGTAAGAAGCACCAAATAAGAATAAGGAAGCTTTTGAGAGTTTAAAATGGTGATATTTGGGATTACTCCCTTTCTGTCTAAAAAAATCAAAATCATGATTACTTTTTCGCTATTACTTTCAAAATGAGAAAACAGGTGAAATGAGAGTTTTTGAAAAATTACCAGTTTAAGTGCAGTCAGTGCTTTTTAATTGCCTGTTGTGATTGTGATGCCATTTAGAAGACAAAAGTCTGTATATTTCCCTATGAAACTGGTCTAGTAGAGAAGGAGATTTTTTTTGTTTTGGGTCCTTGAGGGTTCTTGCATTGGATGCCCTCAGCCAATTAAAAAAATTTTTCCTGAAAAGTCTTAAGATCAAATGGGGTCCTATTAATAATGTGGTTATAAGATTCAATGGAAGAACTTATTTTTCATGGCAACTGAGTTATTTTTAAACTGATTTGTATATTTAGATAGAATAGATGTAATTTACTTGAGACTTTTCAAAATTAATGCCATAAATTCAATGCAATCTGTGATACAGCTCTTGCTTCAATTTTTAGTTACTTGCTTAAATTCAGGATTCTAGTATGAAAACCTTGTTTACTTCTCTCCTGCCTGTAATGACTTCCCATTTCATGGAAGCCACTTTCCAGCTGAGACTCAGTCAATTCATTTTTGGATCCTGCAGTTTTAACAAGGTTTAATAGATTATATTTAGGTAAAATACTGGGCTGCATTCTGACCTGACTCTCCATCTTTGTGTTGACAGTAGTTTGTATTTATGGCAAGGTTTTCTACTATATCAAGATCAACCCTATTTTTTTTTTTTTTTATTAAATAAATGATGTTTTAACTTCAAAATTTCTCAGTATTAGTAGATTGATTCCCTTTGTTTTCTTGTATAAAGTAATAGTGTGCCCTTTATGTTCATCCTAGCGACAGCTTTGGATCCTTTTCTACAAGGATTTATTCATTCTTGTGTTTGCAGCATCATCCACAACTTTAGTATTTACATTTATTTTCCAAATCTGTCCATAAAACCACACTTACATTATGTGGGGAGAGCTAGCAGTATAAAACCCTAATAAGAGTGTGCGTTTAAGCGGTCAGTGTATGAAGTTCCACTTTCTACTTTTTTATCCACAATAGCACCTGTGTTTGTTTTGTGTTGTGTTACTTATTCTGCTTGCATACATTGCCTAGTATCAGTATGCTCTTGGTCAATTTTCTTTGTTTTTCTTCATAATGCTTCATTCCTTTTAGTATTTGCATTTTAAAGTGCAACTGCTCATTCTGGGGCTTCAATATTTGGGTGCTCAAGTTGTGAAATGCTCCTAAACTCTGTTCTGTGGAAAGGTGAAGTGCATTCAAAATAAAACCTTTTGAAAGTGTTCCAGGAAAAGTGTACAAAAGATATTGCTTAGTTTGGAAAATGCTTTTTGGAGTTGTCTTAAATCTCTTCAAGGTCAGCTTGCAGGGCTTTATGTGTTTGAGTGACTTTTTTTAATCTTTCCTTTCCTCCAGCTGTTCTCCTAGCTGTTTGTTTTAATTGTTTGATCTTTGACTTCCTAATATGCCCTTGCTTCTCATTCTGCAAAGGTTCTGTCATCCTTTTGACAATCGCTAGGCTTTGTTATCAGCAGAATTGATGCCTTGCTCATTAACTGTTGAAACTGTGAAAGTTACCTACACTTTGTGCTGGAAGGTGAGCAGGATCGTTTTCCTCTAATGGATGCTCAGCAGATTTGAAGGAATTTGTAGCAGTCAGATAATTCTGCACTAATGAGATCTTTTAAATGTTTTAGTAGTGATGAGTGGGCTGCCCTCAGCCCTACCTTACATATCACATACCATTTTTGTATTGCTGCTTTTACCAATCAAATATGTGGTAACTTCCTTTGCTTTTTAAATGCAGAAAATAGGACCTGTCACCTCACAGAGATGTCTTGCCATGTCAGGGCAAAATATAAATAAGAAATTCAGAAGTTTAAAGTGCTTTAGGCTAAGTCTCTCTCAGCATTTTCAGCAGCAATCTCTGCATACTTTGAACAAACCTGTTTTAATAAGGTATCTCTTTTCTTAGTAAAGAATAAGAGATTGCTATAAAGCTTTCTCCTCCACTGCTGTTGGCTATATTAAAATTGTTCATCTTTGAATAGAATGCTGAAGTATACATGAGACTAGAATTACTAAATCATCAGATTAAAATCATTACCTGATGACAGTTTTTTTTGTTCTTGTAAATTCTCCTGAGCATCTATAGTGGTACTTGAAATACGTTCGTCAAATTTATTGCCTTGTGGAAGCTTTTTTCTGCTCTCCTGTTCCTTCTCTTCTTCCCTAGTTAAAATAGGTACAGCAGATTTACTTGGCCAGAGCCTGTTGTGGGGAAGGGACCTGCTCCCCCGTGTATCACACTGATTGAGCTTGGGAGATAACAGTCTCCATCTTACTGTCAGTGAAAGATGCTTCAGGCTTTCCATTAATATAAATCTGCTTATACTGCTAATCTTGCTGATATTTAAAGAAGCATCTGAACCCCATAAATGGTTTAATTTCATTGCTTGAATCATAGAATCATAAAGGTTTAAAAAGATCTCCAAATCATCAAGTCTTTGAATACCACCACTCCCACTAAACCATATTGGGAGGTACCACATCTGCTCAGTTTTTTGAACACTTGCAGGGATGGTGACTCCACCACTGCCCTGGGAAGTTTGTTCCAATGCTTAATCACTCCTTCAGTGAAGAAATCTGTCCCAGTATCCAACCTGAAGTGTCTTTATGCGCTAGTTTGGATTGACTAAGATTTTGCTTTTAAGTAA